AAATACATACTGAGGTGAAAAGAGGAGTAGTGCTCCTGGGGTTTCTTTGCATGTGTGCAAAGAAAAAATATTTGTTAATTTTCTTTTTAGTGGTAGGCAAGATTCATGGATATCTCTTTTGTGGATAAAATAGACACTTGAAAGGTGTTTTCGTTTTTTAACTCCACTGACCTGCAGTTATATTTGTGGGAAATATATAACTTTTAGGTCCCTTTGCTCAAAGAAATAATTTTTCTTTGAATGCTGAGGAAAAGTTCAAAATTTTGCTTTAAGATTTGGGGACTTGGTTTGTTCAGTCCCCAGTTTTGTTCATTTTGTGTCACTATCTTTCAAAAGAGGTTTTCACACTTTAGATTTAAATCAGTTCCAAACTTTTTTGAATACTAAGAAATGTGAAATCATTCATCAACCACAAGAAAGTGGTCAGTCATATTAAATTTTACTATTCTGAACTTCAAGGATTTAATAGGAATTACCTAGTTTTAAAGGGGCACTTAAGTATCTCATTTTTATTTTTACCTTGAGAGTAAACTTGTGAATGACTTACAGTGTAAAAATGTGCTTTCTGTAGGAAGTTTTTAAATTTTATATTTTTTAAAATAGAATGTTTTCATTTGTTTTTTCAGACTCAAAATTTTGTACCCTAATAACCAGAATGTGAAATCTACTGTAAATAAAAGTGAGGCTGTTAAATATTACTGGCTTTTCATTCACCCCCAGTCAGAAGTGGAGGGAGGAGGGGAAAAATGCAGAGGAGAATAAAGCGATGTGAGAAACTCAGGAATTTCAGTTCTGCTGCTTAGCCCATCTATGAGTAAAGTTTGTTTTTTAAAAAAGTTTACTAGCAACATAGAATTTTTATTTTGAAACACTTCAAGAAATGGGAAAGTAATTTATTTAGCATCTATAATGAGCTTTATGTGCTCTAAAGAAAACCAGTGCCATTCTTTTGCTGTTGAGTTTTGATACCCACAAATCTAGGTCATGACCAATGAAATCTAACTTCCTACAAAGAGCCCCAGAGTCCCTCATGTTGTTTGAGTTGTCTTGCTCAAAAATCAAACTTATATCTTGTCATATTTGGATTTGTTTTATTTATTCTTCAGCATGGGAAGGACTTTGAAGCTATCCAGAACAACATTGCCCTGAAGTACAAGAAGAAGGGCAAACCAGCAAGCATGGTGAAGAATAAGGAGCAGGTTCGCCACTTCTACTACCGCACCTGGCACAAGATCTCCAAGTACATTGACTTTGACAACGGTTAGTATGCCATGAAATGGGCTGCTGTGGAGCTCAGTCTTGTGAGGGTTGGAATCCTGCCTTTTGGTGCCATCATGGAGAGTAGAAATGGTGGAGATGAGAACATAAATACTGAACAGGGCATGTGTGAACAGGTCTTATTTTTATCAGCTTGGCCATACTGAGTTTCATGGGTTTTGAGAAATGCTGGAGTTTGTGTCACTGCTTTTGTATATTTTTGTATCTCTTTGCTTTCTTTTCTCTCATTCATCAGAATTTCTTCTCATTCTGAGAAAAGGAAACTGGGAAGTCACATGAACTGCTAGTGGTGTTTTTTGTACCAGTAATAGTAATCTGTGATCATTGATATTTGATTTTTATCAAAGGCATATTGTTCAGTAACAAGCAGTGAGAATTCAAGTCAGTTTTTAGGCAGCCTAATCTGAATAGCAGAGTAAAGAAATTATTTCAGAGTGAAATGATTTTACTAAGACCCAGTTCTTTTGACTTAAAAGTATGGAGAATGTCAGTTCTCCTGGTAGCTTGTTGATGAAGTAAAGATCTCCAGGGTTCTCCTGTCCTTCTGATGCTATATTATGAATTGCATAAATCAAGGCAGTTTCATGGTGGTTGAATTTTTTGGTCTTTAAACACCTTGCTTTAACATCAGCCAAAGTTTGCATGGTAAATTCATCTATACAGTCTGTGGCCAGAGCCTCTCAAGTTAAAAATAACTCATTAATGAGAAATGGGTATGACTAGAAAAAAGCTGCAGTCTCTTCATGAAGTTTTGTCTGCTCCTGAGAGTAGGTTATCTCAAGGAGGACTTACACATATAAAATACATGTCATCAGGTGTATTTTTGATTTCCCTTTTCAAAACAAGACAGCACTTTAAGATGAAACAGGCCGTTACTATTTTGTTTAAAAACAAATGGTAGAGCAAACCCAGTATGGAAGAATCTCACAAAAAAAGACATCATGGAGGAGCTTCCATCTGTTTTCTGGATAATGTGAAGCTCTCTACATAAAACGTCTGAAATCTCACTTTAAGAATTAGTGCAGAAGTTTGATTAGCTGTAGTTCTGGTAGAGGTCTGTATGCCTGGGTTTTGAGATGAGTTGAGTCTGTCCATCAAAGAGAAGCGAATTCTTGATGAATAGACAAGAATAAATACTTTCATCTGATTTGTGAACCATGAGACTTTTTGCTGTCATAGATACTTAGAACTGTTACCCATAATAATGTCCACATCATGTGTGTTGATGAGAAAGGAGGAAAAAACCTTTTAAAATTGGGTAAAATATGTGTAGTTCTTCATCTAAAAATTTAGAATCTAGAATTTGTATTGAAAAACTAAGGTCCATTGATGTGCACAGAAGACATTCTCTGTCTTCTGGAAAATTCAGACCCGCTTCTTAATTTACATATAGGAAAGAGTTCTGTGTGCGTTTTCCTAGAGGCATTTCCTTTGGAAAAATAGTTAGCTTTATTAAGAATTAGCTTTATTTTGTGTATCAAACTGTTGTATATTTGTTTAAATTCTGTGGAAGCTGCTTTGTTTTTTCTGTAATCTAAAAAATACGGCCTTTCCAAGGTACTTGAGTCACAAAAAGGAAATTGGTGAAGCTGTCCTGTAGGATTTCTTGAAACAAGTTTCAGTGTTTCTAATTAGAAATACGAATCATCTCATTTTCAGTGTTGAAACCAGTATCTGTGATGTACCTGTGTGTGAACATCTGCAGTCTGCAGCTCATTTACACCTTTTCTGCTTTTCAGTTTTTTCCCAAGGGCTGAAAAAATCCTCCCTCGAACTATACGGCTTAATCTGCTATGGGGAACTAAGGAAGAAGATTGGGGGATGTGAGTATGAATGACTTAAAATGATTTTTATATGGTAGAATCCCAAATGTCTCCTCTTGAAGCTGGCAATGGCTAGTACAGTTTCATTTTTGAGTTAATTCCGAATTTGTGATCATTTTATTCTATTGCCGTTATCTGCAGCCTAGCATCATTTTTTTTCATTCACTATATTTTTGAAAACCTCCTTAGCCTCTTTGTAAGTCCCCATTTTGACAGTTTTCTTTAACTTTTGCTGTGTGTGGAATACAGTGCATGTAATAACCACAGATGACAGGTAAATGTGTACACAGTTTAGATCATCTGTCTCTTATTACTCTTGAAAACAAAGCAACTAAATGTGTAAGTGGTAGCATTGGCACCCACAATTCTACCTATGCAGCCAAAATCTGGAATGTTGCCTTTCTCCAAGTCATTCTCTAAGTCTTCATTTGTTGAGCCCTGAAGATGAAAATATATTACACATCATAATCAGAAGTACCATGTGTGCTGGCTGGGCCTGATGTGTTCTGACCTCATCAGGCCCAGAGGTTGGATTTTTTCTGTAAAGGTGAGCGTAGGCAGATGAGTATGTGCCATAGCAATGCTCCCCCATTTTCTGGAAGTTGGTAAGTTGTATTAACAAGATGTCTGAGTTTAGGCTTAGTGCCATATTCATAGCATCATAGAATGGTTTGGGTGGGGAGGGACCTTTACAGGTCATCTAGTCCAGCCCCCCTGCAGGGAGCATGGACATCCTAGAGCAGTGACCCAACTAGAGCAGGTTGCTCAGAGCCCCGGCCAACCTCCCCTGGGATGGTTCCAGGGATGGGGCAGCGACCACCTCTCTGGGCAGCCTGGGCCAGGGGCTCACCACGTTCATTGTAAAAAATTTCTTCCTTATATCTAGTCTGAGTCTCCCCTCTTTTAGTTCAAAGCCATTAACCTTTGTCCTGTGGCTACAGGCCCTGCTCAAAAGCCTGTCCCCATCTTTGTTGTAGGCCCCCTTTAAGTGTTGAGAGGCTTCAAGGAGGTCTCTCTGGAGCCTTCTCAGGCTGAAGAACCCAAACCCTTTCAGCCTTTTCTCACAGGAGAGGTGCTTCAGTCCCCAGTCATCTGTGTGGCCTCCTCTGGACCTGCTCAAGCAAGTCCATGTCTTTCTTGCGCTGTAGGCCCCAGAGGTTGACTCAGCACTGCAGGTGGGGTCTCACCAGAGCAGAGAGCAGCAGACTCCCATCCCTCAACCTGCTGGCCTCACTTGTTTTATATAACCCAGGATGCAGTTTCTATGGTCTTTATGGCTTCCAGACTAGAGAGGGCTTGGAGAACTGGCAGAGGAACATGCACTGTGTGTGTTAGTCTGTGCATAGGTACCTTCCTAGCTGTGCTTTTTTTTTTTTTAATTTGTCTCCAAACTTTTCGTAGAGTCAGTGTTCCATCACAATGCATCTTCTACATGTTTTGTTTAACTTGTGAGAAAAATTTGAGAAAATCATGGATATATTTTCACTGTTTTGTAAAGTCATACTAGTTGCAAAGTGAGAAAGACAAGAAAGCCTTAACAAATGAAAATATACAGTTCCTAACAGAATTTGGGGTTTGCTTTTTTTTTTTTCCTATGTCATATTTTCACTTGGGATTTTTGTTGTAATGTGTCATGAATGATACTGTTTCAAATGTTCATAGTGACTCCATTCTGTTTTTTCAAACATCTCCAGTGTGTTAATTCATCTTGGAGAAACAACTTTGCACTATTCCATGACAAAGAAGGTACAGAGGCAAGACAGATTGCATTGTCCATAGAAATCAGTATTAGTGTTCCTTCCCTATATTCATGTCTTGTCTTAAAAGCATCAACAGACCCTTCTTGCTGTGCCTGGGAGTGAGGTTTCACAGTCACCATGGCAATGCACGCATACTCTGTGCTTCGGTCTTTTTATAACTTTGGTACTTGGTTATGTATTTTACCCACTGTCACCTGTAAGATTCTAGTCTCACAAGACCAAATGGGCTTAAGCTGCAAGTCTCTACACTCAGTTTGCAAGAGGTCTGCTCTGTACCTGGTGAAAGTAGATTATTTCTTTTCTTCTTGTAGTATTCACCCAGTCCCATCTTTCCAGAAGTTGAGATGACTTCCGTAGAGCTAGTGGGACACAAAAGCATGTCAGGAGTACTTTCAGCATTGCCAGAGGGAGGTTAATTGTTCAGTAAACAGATCTGGGCCTAATTACCACAGGGAATATAAATCCAGTTACCATAATGCCCATTTAAAAATGTGCTGTGTAGTGCACAGAAGAACAGCATGGCCTGCAAGTGCATTTCATTATTTTTATTTACTTTTTAAAACTGCATTCAGCGCTGTGAGGGCTTGGTGCTCCTCCACTGTGCTCTGCTGCCTCAGCAACAGAGGGAGAGCAGGAGGATGGGGAAGCTTTTTGTTTTAATACCACAGTTTCAGATTAATGCCCAGTAACCCAAGATGACTGTAGCACCTCAAACTGGGCTCGTTTAATCCAGGAGTAAAACGTAATTTTTATGGCAAGGATAGTGTAAAGCTTGCATGTTATGAAAACAGAAACTTTTCAGAAAGGTTATGTTGTGGCACATTCATGGACATTAATCCTGTCTGAGAATAAAATGGAATAGCTTTGAAAACTGAACAGGGCACAAAAGAAGGTCATGACTATATTGCTTGAAATCCTAACTGACTGTGTTATCCCATTTCATGTAAAGGTATGGATGACAAGAATGCAGCTAAACTCAATGAGCTCATACAAGCTGGGTAAGTAAGAACTTCTTCCTGAAACTCTTAAAACAGGGTTGGTCAGCAGCTTGGTTGTGGAATTGCTCATCCAGAGCCTGGGGGGGCACTTCTTTCTTTTTCAGAGGTGCAGTTTGACATTTTTCATTCTTTGTTTTGTGTGGGGTTTTTTCGCCCTTTTTTTCATGAAGCCATTAATTGCTATTAGTAAGAAATTATGAGTGAAGTTTAAGAAGGTAAAGAAATGAGAATTCTTGAGAGAAGTTACAGCATTATAGCTTTGATTCACTATAGGGAACATAGAATCGTAGAATCATTTGGGTTGGAGAAGACATTTGAGATCATCAAGTCCAACCATTAACCCAGCACTGCCAAGTCCACCACTAAACCATGTCCCTCGGCACCACAAGTTTTTTTAAGTATCTCCAGGGATGGGGATTACACAACTGCCCTGGAAAGCCTCTTTCACTGCTTAACAACCCTTTTGGTGCAGTAATTTTTCCTCATGTCCAACCTAAAGCTCTTTGGGGACAGCCTGAGGCCAGTTCCTCTTGTTCCTTGAGAGAAGAGCCCGACCCCCACTTGGCTCCAACCTCCTGTCGGGGAGTAGTTAAGAGCCAGAAGGTCTCCCCTGAGCCTCTTTTTCTCCAGGCTCAACACCCCCAGGTCCCTCAGCTGCTCCTCACAAGACTTGTGCTCTAGACCCTTCCCCAGCTGTGTTGCCCTTCCCTGGGCATGCTCCAGCCCCTCAGGGTCCTTCTCGGGTGAGGGCTCATTTCCAAACAGTTCTGCCAACACTGCGCACCAGTCCTGCCGTTCAGAGCTGAAGTAACACTTCCAGTACACCACAGGCCTCAGGTCTCCAGTCACTTCTGCATCTACTTGGCTTTAAGGACAAATACTTTCACTTCAAGAAAAAATTAAAGGGTTTGGGGGTTCAGTCTTGGCAATATACTTTTAGGATACAGAAGGGTTAGAAGTTGCTGTGCTGTTAGAAATGAGGGAATATCAGGGAATACCTGATATATTTGTACCTAGTATTTTATGAAGTAGTCCTGCTTTTAGAACAATGTGCATTCTGAAATGAAATCTCTTTCAAAGGATATTTTAAGGAGCATGATGATTAAGCAGGCATCACTTGGCAGGCATTGGTTTGTCCTAATCATGTCTTTTAAAAGAGATTTGACAATAGTACTATTTTCTGTCTGTTACAGATCTTTCTGCTTTTGGCATTTGTGCTTTTAGTGTGCTTTATTGCAGCAGACAAATTATTGGTAAAGTAAACTTGACTGCAAACAGGAGGAAGAGTTGGCCCACTCAGCAGCTGCTGACTTTCTTCTTTACTTTACATAAAATGGATACTTGCTGTTGCACCTTTCTGTTTTTCACTGAATTTCCAGATTAGTTCCTTGCAGTTTATTAACCTTTTGTCTCCTGGGAGATGCACTTTGTACAGTGTGCTGTGTTGCAGGTCTTGACAGTGATTATTTGTGAAATGACTTGTTCATTCTTTTGTAACTACAAAGTTTGAAATTAGAAGATGAATTGGTATTTAGTTTGGATTTTGTACAATTAAGAAATTCCTAGCACTAAGGTTTTTTTTTTTCATATAGCAAAAATGATTCTTAAAGCAGATTACTTCTTTAAGTTGGAGTTACCAGTTAAAATGGGCCTGGAATGAGCCTTTCTTCCATAGTGTGCTGAATATCTCTAGAGTTCAGGATGTAGCAAGCAGTTTGGTCTCTCTGCTTTGTACTGGACAGTATTTCTGTGTCATCCAAGTAGACTAAACCATAATAAATGGCCTCATGCTTTTAAGGATCTTTACAGCTGTTAATGTGGTATTCAAACTAAAAGGCAGTGAGCCTGTATTGTAAAAGTTACTTTGTTCAGATTCCCAGACAAGCTGTCAGGCCTCATTTCTGCAACAGATGTGGTGCTGATATTCCAGAATGGAAGACTCTTAAAAAGCTTTAGACGGTTTCTTCCCATAATTAAGAGTTAGGAGTATAAACAGGAGGATAAAGCAAACCCACTTGTCTTTTATGAAGAAGCTTTCTCTGAGAGTACTCTTCAATTGAAGTAACAGAATTCTGGTTGGCTTTATAAAATAGCAATCCCTCCCTAGGTGAACAGCTGAGTCTGGAAGAGGAGGATCACAAAAGCAGCAGTTCTATAATGAAAAGTAAGGTGATAGAAAAGACTGAATGCTTTTGTGAATCTGCACAGCAAACCCTTCCATATCTTTGTTCATTCCGTGATTGTATTTGACTGTGGCCTTAATATGTATGCACTGGCAAACTTCTGCTAATGGTGCCTGTAAATACTTCTCTTTCAATGTCTGCAGGGCTACGACTGTTCGTTACAAAGGCAGAAACCTTCGTATCAAAGCTCCAATGTGCAGGGCTTTGAAGAAGCTCTGTGATCCAGATGGTAAGAAAGAGATGCTGGAACCTGAAAGGGTTGTAACAGATGGTTGGAAGAATATCTGAGTGGGCCTGTTTTGATGTGTACATCACTGCTAGGGGAGTTTATGCTATTTCACATTTATGTTGGGAGTAGATATGTGCCTATTGTCTTACTTATCCTGTTTGCTTGTATAATCCCCGTAAGTTTAGAACCCACCCAGCTCTCTAAGTCTTGGAGTATGTCACTAGCTAAAGTGAAAAGGAAATAGCTACACCAGACAAGATTGCCTCTGGCCTACCAGTTGTGCTGTAACTACATGCAAAGTTTGGTCCCTTGTGCCAGTGAATAAGCAGGAATATGTTGTTTAGCATGAGCATTTAGACCTTTTTTTTTCCCCCCTTTTTTTTTTTTTCTTCCTCTTCCTTCCCCCCTATCAATAAATAGAATCAATGCAGTTTAAAGGTCTGAAATACTGTACCTCTTTCAAGTTTCCAGCCACCTGATTTTGACACTGCTTGTTCAACTGGAACCTCCAGTAACACTGCAGTGTCCAAGGGGGGGGGGGGAGTGCAGAGGGGGACAACAAACCAAACCAAAGGTAATCTAAGGTAGCAGGCTCCACTGGTGAGGCTGAGCTGCCTAAGTTGTCTGTCAGTGATGCCAGTGTCTGTGGTGGTTTTTGTGCTTTATCTCCTTTCAGGTGTTAGTGATGAAGAGGACCAGAAGCCAGTACGTCTTCCTCTCAAAGTCCCTGTGGAGTTGCAGCCACGAAATAATCACGCCTGGGCTAGAGTACAGAGTCTTGCCCAGAATCCACGGCTTAGGTAATGAAGAACTGGTTGTGGTGCTCAGAATAGAACATGGAAATACAAGGGCAGCATTCTGGCATCCTTCTCTCTTTTCAGGGTTCTCTTTGCCAGCTAGGCAGTTCATCTTTGGTAATGCAGTTTGCCTAAATGTGCTTACTCTGAAGGCTTTCTCCAGTCAAGAGTACATGATAGTTGCAAACATGAGATACCAGACTTGAAAATGAGGTTACCATTGCTCTTTATATCTTTTATTTTGAGTAATGATCAGAGCTACTAGAGTTGGAGATGAAAATACTTTGTACCACTTGCACCCAGTTGTCAGAGCAAGCGTGCAAGTAAAATGGAGATATGCTGGACTAGTTCTGCTAAAATCTACCTTGAATGTACCCTGGGACAGGCGTAGGGGAGGGAAGTAAAACAGTAGTCAGAGGCACCTGCCCCAAGACTCTAAACATGTCACCTTCAACCTGGTGATGCTAGCAGAAAGCAAAGTTTTTGTAGCTTTATCTCCTTCCTGCAAAGCATAGTTGGTGCTGTTGTTTCAGTGTCATCAGAGACTGTTCATCCGTGTACTGATACCTACTCCAGCTCAGGGCAGAAAATATGAGGGCTTTATGATGCTGATTGCTCTTTCCAATAGAGTGCTTCAGTATAACGACCAAAGATCATGCAGAGAGGATTGTGAAGATTTTTAGCATTGGGCTTATTCTGTAAAATTATTTGAGAGCAAAAAGTCAACACTTGTGGGTCTTTTTGTGGCCCGTTTTCTCTTTCTGTCTATATTTCCTGCGGTAGCGTTGTTCCTTGCCTGCACTTCTGCCATTACCCAGAGCTTGCCATCTTTTCCTGTCTCCTCCTTCCACTGGAGAAACTAATATCTTGAATCATGACAACCAGATTTATCTGATAGGCTTTTAGATCTTTCTCAATTGTGATTTATCTGGGTTTTAAAGTTAAGGGATGACATATGGTTTTGGTTTTCTTGTTTTTTTCCTTAGAGCTTAGGAGTGGTAGGTGTGTTCTCTGTGCTTGTATTACAGAATGCCAGTTTCTTCCCTTCATTCCCATTCGAGCATTGAGGCTGTGATTTGAACTTCTGCTGACCTTTTCTCTCTGTTCCCTTGCTTTGTTTGTCTTGCATACAGGATGATTGTAGAGTTACATCGGAAGGTCTCCAGCCTCATTGAGTTCCTGAAGCAGAAGTGGGCTCTCCATGAAGTGCGTATTGTATCCTTTTTCTGCTTAGTCTGTTCCATATGCTGTGTCCTAGGAGCAGTTCTCTTCCTATTCTAAGGTCATCTGTGCATTGGAAATATGATTCTACCTCATGAACTACCAGCCCATGCTTGGTAAAGGTAGAGGTCAGTATTTCAGCTGATGGAACCTTTTGTGGGAAATCCCATAGTATTCCAGGTATACCTCAACTGTTCTCTGCTGTGATCCCCTGAAAAGCTAGTTAGTAATAAGTGAAGCTCCCTGCCTTTATTTAATTTCCTTAAACAGTGAGCTTAGCCTGTTTCATTGTAGACGGGTGACCTCCATAGAAGCCTGAATAATAACTGACAATTTTGTTTCCAGTTTCAACAAAGAGATTAAGGATGGATCTTTCCACTTGCTTTATGCGGTTTCACCAAATGAAGGCTTAAGCTTCTTGTCTGTAGGCAGCTGCTGCTACCTTTTACATATCTGTACATTGTCTGAGCCATACAACACAGCCCTGCCTCTGAACTTTGATCCGTGGATTTGTGAGTAACAGCCATTCTGTTCTCCTGATGACTAGTGTGATATGTCCTGGTCCTTTAATTCAGGCTTTTCTTTTTAATTTGTGATCTTGGAAGAACTAACTGCATAGCATTTGAAACTTAGAACGATGGCAAAACATGTAAGATGGAAGTTACTGCACAGAAAGGAGAATCTGTTTTGCTATGCACTTCGGTTTTTTGCTTTGTTTTTGTTGAGGTTGGTTGGCTGATTGGGTTTTTACAATTACAGGGCTGTGTGAAGCAGAGAAAAGATATTTTTCCTGAAACAGACATTTAGTTTATGCTTGTAGCAGGTCTTCAGTGTGGTCTTACCACAAAAGAACTTAATTTCTGATCATGGAGATTTCATATTTATGCTGAGTAGACAACAAGTCCTTGATCAGCTACATGTTCAGGGTTTGTTTTGTTTTGTTCTTTCCAACTTGCAAAATAAGCTACCAGGTGCTTGTTTGGAAGGGGCAGATGATTGTTGTATTCTTTGACACATCTTTAGCGTAAAACACTAGAAGAACGGCAGCTTCAAGACTCCAGAGACTCAGAAACAAGAGGCAGCTTCTCAGAGGAGAAAGTGACACTCCATCTCTTCCCAGGAGAGAATTGTACCCTCACTCCACTGCCTGGTGTAGCCAGAGTTGTCCACTCCAAGGCCTTCTGCACAGTGCACTGGCAGGAAACTGGCAAATGCAAACAGAACACGAAAGACTCTCACTTACTACCCCCTGCACAAATCCTAGGCATACAGAGTGGTCAGGGGACAGCCAGGGGACAGCTGAAATACACACGGGGAACAGAAGGTAAGGGTGTTGGAAGGGCAGAGAGCACTACAGAGTCAAGCAAAACCTCTCAGCCCACAGCTGAAGTTTCTGTGAGCTCTGAAGATGGAGGCCCGGAGCCCAGCCTGGTGGAAGGAACAGCCTCAAATCTTGGCATCAGTAATTCTCTCCAAAAACCACCTTCTGGACTTCCAGATCCAGGAGGGAACCACGAAAAGCTGAGCTCAGTGGCCTTCTGCATGGAGGGCAGGGAGGCCCTGGCTAGCGACCAGGCGACTGCGCCGCCGTCGTGCGGCACGGCTTGTGCTTGCAGCAGGATCCCTGATGTGGAGGAACTCTCTCTGCTCGATCCATTCCCACGGTACATGAAGTCCTGTCAGGACCTGATTGTCCCAGAGAAATGTTCTTGCACAGACAAACTGCATGCAAAAGACTCTGCTCCAGGAGCTGGTGATAGTTCTCCTGTGGCTTTTCCAAGCGGGAGGAGTGCAGAAGTACCTGACTCCTGCTCGCAGCTCCCGAGAGGTGGTGTGGCCTCACCCGGCAGCGGCCCATCCAGGGGTGAAACTCAGGGTAGCCACAACCAGGGCCAGCAGCCTGATGCTTGTACCAAGGATGTAACAGATATGGTGATGGAGGATTCTCAAGAGAAGCTGGGCTCCTCATTTCCACCTCCACCTCAGGGACAATCTAGTACAAAGTCTCTCAAGGACGACCCAAACCGTCTGTCTCAGCAGGTTAGGGAAGAAGGATGGAGTCTCCGAACTTCTGAGAGCCTTACGCTGGCTGAAGTCTACCTCATGATGGGCAAACCCAACAAGCTGCAGCTGGAATATGACTGGTTGGCTGTCCTGGAGCCAGAAAGCCAGGATACTAGGGAGCAAACAGCTGAGTCAAGTGCTGTTCCTACATGTACCACCTTTCACAAGCAGAGACTCCTGAACTGCCTTTTAAAACTCATCTCTACTGAAGTCAATCCCAAACCAGTAAGTAACTCTTGTTCATGCTCCAGATGCTAAACTCTTGTTTGATCTGGGGAGTAATTGCCCAGTCATGTTTTCATGGTGACTCAATGACCAGCCTTATCAAGATCTTGGAGAGTCCTGTGTTAAAACAAACAAACAATAAAAACACAACAAAACAAACAACAACAAAAAAAAACCATAACACAACCCAGCTTGCTACAGAGTGGTCTTTTCCTCAATGTGCTGCATTTGCTTCTTACTGCCTTTTAGTTTCTGGTTTGCTGTGAGTCTGTGATGCTACAGCCAACATTTAACATGACTACTGGAAAGGTCAGTTATGAGGTTAGATTAGGCAGGTGCTTTCTGGCCTCTCAGGGTGACAGAACAGCCCACATTGGAAGGGGTCTTGGCACCCATTACCACCATTGCAACTGATTGAAACTGATTAAATATCCTTTTAAAGATGAAAAAGGCAATGAGTTGAGCAGCTCTGACTGAATGCCTCTGATGGAGGTAGGAGGAGTTAGAGATACCATCTGCATTGTGTTCTACAGTACAGCATCCTGCAGTGTGGGATGCAAGTGTATCACTGTCTGCAAACACACGTAGTTCTTTGATCTTTCTTTGTTGGTGCAGACTTAACTGCCCTTGAAGCTCCTTTTGATCCTGATTCTATAGACATAGAATGTAGGATTTTATAAATTTTAAACCACCTTTGCTCAGATACAGCTCCAGATACAGACTTTGATTAAACTGAAGACTTTTGGTCTGTCATATTACAGATATGTGACAGTTTCCTCTTTTGGCATCCACTTTTACTCCTGCTGACACGTGACAGCCAGGGATGACATGATTAAACAATCACAAAGTAAAGGACATCTCCTTAGATTTAGAGGGAGAAGCATAGAAGAGGGGGGAAAAAGCTAGCAGCTATTATTTGTAGCTGTTTTCTTGCCACTTTAGCACTCTTAGCATCCTAAGGTAGCACACTGCTACTGAAAAATAGAGGAGGTCTTTCAGATCTGTGCCATATTGTACATTCCAGTAAGAAGTAACATAACCTTTTATTTGTCAGATCCCACTTTGTACTTGCTGTGTTTCAGAGCATGGTAGTCTTCCTGTGACAGTGTCGTGGGACTGATAGATACTCAAGAGCTGAGGAGGACACTTGGTGTCTAATCAAAAGTACTGTAGACTTTTTGAAAGTTTTATCTCTTAAATCCTCTACACTTCATCAAACACTGACAGCAACCATAGTATTCTGGCCACAGGGCATGTCAGCACTTTAACAGAGGCAGGACTGGTTGTCTAGTTCCCTGCTGTTTTCTCAAGATAATTCGTAACAAAGCCAAAATGGCCAACTGTGCTGTCGTTCAGTCCTTTAAATGAAGACTCCCAGCCTAAAACAAACAGTAGTGAATTGCATTGCAGTCAAGTGTGGGGGGTGACTTGGTGCCTGTGATTGCACACAGATTCCTTGCAAAAGGAGCGTTTTCTAGAAAAAATGTTTAAGCAACTTGCTGGAACAACTGGATAGACCTGGAAAATCAGTGAAGCATTTTGCCATGTGACTGGTTATTGCTGCCTTACAGTATGAAACAGGAGAAGGGATGGGGAAAAAATGAAAACTCTTGGTCTCTACTTAATGAGAATTAAGAACAAAACATTTTTGTCCTGGTATCCTTTGCTCCAGAGGAGGCCTCTGGATCGTTAGTGTTTATGGAAGTTAGGTTTGCACTGGGTTAAATCCGGCACCCGTTCCCTTGCTGTGAGGAATACCTGTCTTGTCTTTTTTTGTTTTTCTCTTTATCCTGGGGTGGTCCAGCACACTGTGTGAAGTTTGTTGAGGGTTAAGCTGATTGTAACAAATTAACGACATTGAACTGATGACGTTTAGCGTTGCTGCCTGCCAGACACACACAGAGGTATGGATTAGGTACATAAAGATAATTTAGTATGTCAGGTGGGCTGGCTGCTTTTTAAGCTTCCCAAGTAGAAGGAGTTTACCAGTCTGCATGCTGTGACCACACACGATTTTCATTTCATGTCTGTGCCTTTTTAGACTCCCGAGATGAGCTCTGTTGCCACGTCACCTATAAAGCCTGCTCAAGAGGAGCAGTCACTGACTCCTCCAGGAAAAGTGATTGCCATCAGCACCAGGAGTCCAGGTTGTGCACGAAATCAGTCTGCCCTTCGCAACAACAAGGCTTTTTCTCCTGGTGCTGCTTCCAGCTCCTCAGGTGAGTATTTATAAAAACGCATTTCAGGAGATGGTAGAATCACAAAAATGCTCTGGGTTGGAAAGAACCTTAAAGATCATCTCGTTCCAACCCCCTGCCATGGGCAGGGGAACCTCCCACTAGACCAGGTTGCTCAAAGCACCATCCAGCCCGGACTCGAGGTTCCTCAAAGCCCCATCCAGCCTGGACTTGAACCCCTCCAGTGACCAACCATCCACAACTTCTCAGGCAACCTGTGCCAGTGTCTCATAACCCTCATAGTGAAGAATTTCTTCCTTGTATCAAATCTTAAGTTTCCCCTCTTCCAGTTTAAAGCCTATTCCCCCTTGTCCTATGCCCTTGCAAAAAGTCCCTCCCTGGCTTTCATGTAGGCCCTTCAGATACTGAAAGACCACAATAAGGCCTCCCCAGAACCTTCTTTTCCCCAGGCTGAACAAGACCAACTCTCTCGGCCTGTCCTTGTAGAAGTGTTCCAGCTCTCTCATCATCTTTCTGGCCTTCCTTGACCCACCAACAGGTCCGTGTCCTTCTTGTGTTGGGGGCTCCAGAGCTGGACACAGTGCTCCAGGTGGGGTCTCACGAGAGCAGAGCAGAGGGGGAGAATTGCCTCCTGTGACCTGCAGTTGACGATGCATTTTATGCAGCCCAGCACACATCGGGGCTTTCTGGGCTGCACTTGCACATTGTTGGCTCGTGTTCAGCTTTTCATCAGCCAGCACCCTCAAGTTCTTCTCAGGACTGCTCTCAATCCACCCATTGCCCAGCCTGTATTGGTGCTTGGGATTGCCCCGGAACAGGTGCAAGGCACTGC